CCTAATAGTGTGAACTGTTTAGTCTCAGTTGAATCATACACATTTCAAAAACACATATGCAGTACTGAGTGTAAGTTATAAAAGCATTACTGTATATAAGTTTTGACATCCAATAGTGAAAATTATGAATTCCAAAGAATGCACTCTTGAAAATTATCCATTAACTAGCGGAATCAGATTTGATATTTCTCACATGTATTTGATAATCATTGATGTAAGAAAAATGGAGTAACTTGTTTAAGTGAAGTTTAAGTACTAAAATTACTAAAATGCATCAAAAAGCAGGATTTTGGGTGCCCCCACCTTGGCTTCGATTATTTTCAGGATTTTTAGGAAAGGGACACTTTCATCTCTGAAACATAAATTATTTTAGATTTTTTAGAAAATCATTTGAAACGCTGACTGCCACCAATTCAAATAAAGTGCAAAAATCACCCAAATGGAAAATATATTGCAGTGTAATGAAGGAAAAACATCACATACAAGGTAAAGGTAGCTTATTACCACTATTTTGGGTGTCAAATTGGACAAAGAAAAATATTGGGTTCCACAAGTATGTTGTACAGTTTGCACATCTGGCTTGATACAGTGGCTGATTAAGAAGAGAGCAAGTATGCCATTTTGTTTCTGGTTATTCAGGTAAAACTAAACAGTACATTAAATATCCAGATATTGCATGTGCAATGAAACCAGTGCCTCATGAGGATAGTCCTCTAGTGTCACATCCATCAGTGAATTGGGAAAAAAAAAGTCATCCTGCAAAGAAGACAATGAGTCATATTCATCGTCTTCATCTAGTAATTCTATTCCTATGGCACTGCAACATAAACTGCCTCATCTGATCATACAAGAAGAGATAAATGATTTGATTTGTGACTTGTCTTTATCTATTTTCTAAAAAATATAAAAGAACTTATGTTTACAGAACTAGAATTTAAAATATTTAAAAAACAAAATTTTGCAGAATTTGATTATATCATGGGCTTGATATGAGGAAGAAGATCAGACTTTGCTTTGACTGTGCACAGAGCAAGGAGAAGCATGGGAAACTTCTTGGCTCTCGTTTATAGCAATGGAATACATAACAATAGAGTATATAATCTTATTATACTCATTGCTTTTTAAACTCAATTAGAAAGAAATTGCTGCCTGGAAATCATTTAAAGTGGTTGTCAAACATTTTGTAGGAATTCACAGAGATGAAACTATGCTGTGATGATTGATGATATGCTCGAGGACTACAGGAAAATGGGATCTAGAATGTCACTAAAGATGCACTTCTTATACTTCCATTTAGACTTCTTTCCAAATGATCTAGGTGCAGTGAAAGATGAGCATGATGAACACTTCCACCAAGATATTTTTACAATGGAACAACAATATCAGAGACGATGGAATCCTGCAATGATGGGAGATTACTGTTCGTTCTTACAGCATGAAACTGAGAACATACACAAAAGGAGCAACAAGTCAAGCAGATATTTTGTAACAAAAAATAATACCATGATGAAAGTTTTGAACATAGCCTGAATGTATTTTCAGTATATAATATTGTTATACTCATTGCTTTTTAAACTGGTATTGTTATTATGTGTTGTTTTTGAACATTATTAAATGCAATTTTCAATGATTAAATGAAATTATTAAAGAAAATGTTATTATCTCAATATATATAAGAATATTTTGAATAAATCTATAATAACTCGAATACTAGAGGCAATCACTAATTTTCAACATGATTTTTAGAATCAGTGTTGTCAAATTACTCAGAAACGATTGCATTTTTTCTAGTAACAACAATTTTTTGTTGCCCAGTGTAATCAATGTAAAGATGTTTTTAAAGGCTTTATTTCCTTTTCTTTCAGTATATATGCAGGTCAGCTACTCTCTCAGGGGGACCAGAAATTTATGGGCGATCAGGGTATGATTTTCTCTTTGCTGGTAAGTGTAAAGTACGTTGATATACTTTGCTCTTAGTTACATTTAGAGCACAGTTTAGGACTCACTTATATTTGTCCTAAATTTTACTTGGTCTATACTTTTATCACAACTGTAATGTTTGAATATTTTGGAAAGAGGCTCTTTTATATAATGGTGGACTATGGTTATTTCTAAATCTGTCATAATTCTAGGTTAGATGGGAATGGTTTTCTTGGTTAACTTCTATTTGTCAAGGAATGTGTTTCAAAAATACTCAATGTAAAAGGTACTGAATTGTGAGAGGAATTCATCAAGATGTCAGAAAGTTCAGATATACTGTTAAGCTTAGCATCTTAGGATTTTCATAAATGTCTGTAATATATTTATCAAGTTATATGCAATATATACAAAAGTGCAGTCACTAATACTAGAAAGCATAATAATTTTTCTTTGTATTGTACAATACCACTGCAGTATAGCATCTTAGGCTCTGGTAAAAATCTGATCTTTAGTCAAATTTATCAGTATTATTATTAAGTCTGATCTTGGTTTATCAGCTTCTGTATCATATACTGTGTTTTTAAAACTTTGATGAAATTAGATTACATTTCATTGTAAGTTTCGACTGGTTTATTGAAATATAACTATCATAGTATGTTTTTAAACCACTACTTATAGTCTTAATATAATGAGGTAGATCGGTCATGTATGGCAGTTTTTATGACTGGTTTCTTGTTATATTATATTAAAATTGTTTAGCTTTTCAGATTATATTAGCATTTGTTATTATTGCTTAAGTTAATGTTAGGCTGATTAGACCTTTGATTTTTAATCCATTTCATTTATATGGAAAATTTAAAGAATTTGAGGTAACAGTAACTATGTTGTATTTCCAGAATTTCAAGCATGTGTAGTAGCATCAATAAAAATGTCCTAATTGTATTAAGACAAAAGATATTTATTTTATTTTAAGCCAATAGTGATGCAGTACCTGAAGATGATGACCTGAAAGAAATAGCCATTCCACAGTCTTCTAGGTAGGGATCAGTAAAAAGTAAAAATAATTTATTACAGTGGTATCTCAGCTGTTGCAATTAATTAAATAAATCTGTTCTCCTACAAATTCTTGTGGTCTAACCAAAACTTTACTACTGGGAAATACACTTGAAATGTGTAATAAGCAGTTGAAATTAACATCTAATCTCAGGAAATTCAAAAACTTTGCCTGTCACTAGATCCTTTGGTTGTGAAGTAATGTTAATACAATTTATATCATGTCTGTTATTGTAAGAAAATGTAATTTATCAAAAAGTATAAAACAAAGAAAAGGATAAAAAACATCCAACCATCACCAAGCATAAGAAAAACAACACAGAGAGTATCCAGTAAAGAAGTATTTGTGGAGTTTGGCTAGTCACAGTGATTTTGTATTTCATTTCTAGCTTGAACACTTGTCTCAACAAGTTTAACAATTGTGCTTCTTGAGATCACTAAAATTAACAATAACAACTCTTATTTTTGACATTTTGTTTATGTCCAGTTCACTCCTGATGAAAGAATGTCTGTACTTCTAAAAACAGTTTGGTTAGCAGGTTTCTTTGTTACTTATCAAGTGTACTAGATTTCATGATTATAAACAAGTTACTTTGATTTTGCCGGAAAAGAAGGAACTTGCTGTTTCATAATACACTTAGAGGTATTTATATACTCTTTGTAAATGAAAGTGAACCCACAATAAAGCATCATTTATAAATACAGGAGGTGGGATGTACTATATTATTTTTATATCTAGATTTACAGGGTATCTAAAATTTTGAAAATTTAATGTGGATATTAGGTTTTTGTACTGAAAAACTAATTAATTTAATCTATACATCTACATTTTTTTCACTTGTTTAAAAATTTTAGAATGTTATTTTTGTTTTGTTTTCAGAGCTTTTATATTCAATATATTTTTATTTAGATATGAAATTTTGAATAAGCACTGCAGTAAAATGTTTAGATTCATGTGAATATGTTTTTGTAAATAAAAGATATAGGTACCCCAGGGTTTGATCCCAAAATTCCTGCAAAAGAGCTGGTGTTATGGGGGTGAGAAAAGGAGTGTTCTACAGTTTTAAGTGCATTGTCTAGGGTGTACTGTCAGACATTCTGTCATACTAATATTTATCTTTGTAATGCACAAGAATAAACCTAACTGAAAAATTAAATAAAGATTTAAGTGTTAGTTATGAATAATTATACTAATATCTGTTTAACTATTCTTACAATAAACAGATCCTCTAGTTACTCATATGGTGCAAAAATAAGAGCAATAAACTTTTAAGGTAAAGCCATAAACGAAATAATTATGGAAATGTTTCATAACGGATACTGAAAACATTAGATTTGTTACTTATTAATTACAATCAGTAAAGTATTAATACAAGTTCCAATTAATAGGTTTGATAACTTTACTGGACTGTAATTGCCTGCTGAATGAAAGTTCTCGAAACTGTTTTGTTTATTCTGTCTAAAGTTCCACTGAAACAAGATAAAAAGTAAAGTTCAGAATTGTTACAGATATATTTTGCTTATAAGGGTTTATTCCTTGTTATTGTTTTTTAAAATTGCAAAACTTGTGCTCCATTTAGTTCTTCAAATAAGAGTACATTCAGTATGTTAAAATTATTTATTTTTATTTTTTACTATGAGTTTAAACATCTCCAAACTAACTTCTTTCTAAATCTATTTTATTACCATCCTGTAAGATGGGCTGGATTAGGCTTAGTATCATAAAATAACATATTAAAAGTTTTATTCCATAGACTTCTCCCCCAGTGGCACAGTGGTATGTCTGCGGACTTACAATGCTAGAAACCGGGTTTCGATACCCGTGGTGAGCAGAGCACAGATAGCCCTTGTGTAGCTTTGTGCATAATTAAAAAAACAAACAAACCATAGACTTCTCATTCCTAACAAATGAAGTATGTAACTTATATTTTTAATACTTCTCTAGACTTTTAAAAATAAATGGAAATTACAAGTTTTCATCAATGCCTATGTTTTTCATAAGATATTAAAGATGTTTTGAAAGTAGTTTAATTTGTGAGCATTAAAGAAGCAGATGTTGTATTTTTATCTTTCAGTGAGTGGCAACTTTTTACAAAAGTCCGTAGTCAAGATATTAGGTTATTAAAGGCATTTTCTGTTGGCTGTATCTGTGACTTGATGGTGGAAAAGAAAAAAGTTAAATTTGGAATGAAGTAAGTAAGATCTTCAGTGATTTGTAAAAAAAATGTTTTAGCTCTGTTTTTCAATATCCAGAATTGTCTTAGAAGATTTTATGTCATTGTCTCATTAATGAATGTTATGATTTCATTATTGTTTTTCATAAATAGGTGTCCTGGCATGGCCAGGTGGTTAGGGTGCTTGACTCGCAATCTGTGGGTCGCGGGTTCAAATCCCCATCACACCAAACATGCTCACCCTTACAGCTGTGGGGGCATTATAATGGTACGGTCAATCCCACTATTCGTTGGTAATAGAGTAGCCCAAGAGTTGGCAATGGGTGGTACACTGCTAAATTAGGGATGGCTAGCACAGATAGCCCTTGTGTAGCTTTGCGCGAAATTCATAACAAACAAACAATCATAAATAGGTTTGAGTGGCTTAAAAAAACATTCTATTCAGAATGTAGACTTGAAATTTCTAATTGATTTTTACATTTCTTTGAAACTTGTGTATAATCAGGAAAATTTAACTAAAATAACTAAGCTGTTATACTTTGATTCTGATAAGTCAATTTATTATTATATATTGTTTGCAAGTTTTTTTGTTTATAAACTAAATGCACATATATTAGTTATTTTTAGCATAATCTTGTAGAAGTTTTTAGTGTTTTATCATTATACGATCAACAAGTGAGTTGACTTTTTTGCTAAATTTTGATTTTTTAAAGCACTTTTTCTTTAAATGTTTTTCAGAACATTTAGTTTTTAATGAAGCATTTAGTTCATAGTTTTGATTTTTTAAATATGCTGTATCCAAAAAAGAAAAATTTGACTGTTTGTTCTCTTTTTAGTGCTAAATAGCGAACGTAAGTAATTTTCAGTTTTAGCTAACATGTTTATGAAACATTTTAATCCTTAACCTTCTTGCTACCAGCTTGGCTGAGTTGACTGAGTTCATAACCCCGAAGTAACTATCAGATTTTCCATATTATATTTTTTAATGTTTTATGTATCTTCACACAATTTTGCAAGCTTTCAGTAAATATTATTAGTCTTTTCTACACCAAATGTCAGATTTTTTTAATTAAGTATTTTGACTAAGGATTTGTCCATGAATATTGTTGAGTCAGAGCATGGGCTGTTCTGAGTGCAAAGTGATCTTCATGTTATGTAATCCGTAAAAACCTCCTAACCAAATATCAACCGTTTTTTAATAAAACCATATATTTTATCTGTTATCTCTACCCTAATTCTTTATGCATTTGATCAATTTGATCGATATTGTAACAACCATAAAAAATATGAAATAAAGGTAAATTACTATTTTTTGTTTCTAGTATGACTGTAAATTGTAATAGGAAACTATTACAATTTATCCTAAAGAGCTTAAAGATCATAACAATATACATCTCTTTTTACTTAAACTAGCATATAGCCCATAAAAAATGATGGGGCAAATACTTCTACCCTCACCCCATAATATACCCTAACCTCACATTTCATAGCTAATTGAAATAAATAAATTTTGTGAAATCAAGCTTGATCAACAAGGAGGCAAAAAAATGTAGTTTGAGGTAGTCAAATGTCGGTAAATTCCTTTGTGAGCCAATCAAAATTAAGATCATTTGTGAAATTAATTTGTATTGTATTCATAGAATAAATACTGGTAAAAATCAGTTAGATTAACAACTAATATGTAGAAAAGCCAGTGCATTTTGGTAACACTACATTTGAAGAATGGCTTTTGTGCATGTCATATCACCTAGCGACAAAAATATAACCTAATATTGTTGTTAGTCTATGTACTGAAAGTATAAAATGAAATGTATAGACAATAAAACTGGAAAAATATTTATCAATTTCTTAATTCAAGGTCTCCATTGATTGATGAGGTTTGTTTTTTTATTAAAAACATTGGTGATATAACAGGAAATAGCTTAATTCAGAAACGATTTAAGTTTAAAATTGAATCAATATTTTTATTTTCATGATAAATTTTATGTACTTGGGTCTTTAGTTTAGGCTTAATATACCAACAATCACTACACTTATAAGGTTTCATGGCCTCCCTTGCACCCCCATCACTAAAATCATAATGGGCAGACAGTAAACGAACTCTTCTATCTGGATAAATGCATTTTAGTGTTTATGCCTCCTCCTATTTCTAGAAATTAAGCATGATGTGACACACACATACTTTTATATAGGTTAGATTTTATTGTTTCATTGCAATTTGACCCATGCCTAATTAAAAATCCTGCCACACAAGTTGTGAATCACTGGGAAACAAGTAGCTCAAGTTTTCTTATTGAATTATGTAAATCACAAATTGCTCACAAGCATACCTCTTGAAGAGTTATTATTATTTGTTTCGGATACGATATCTTACTAAGATGTGCACACATGATGATGTGGGGGGTCCCTTCTGTGATTCAGCCCTTATTGCAACACAATTTCACATGTGAGAAGAGTATACCTGGCTCAGAACTGGTACAGTCTCCCATGGGGATATTGCTTTCTGATTATTCGCGCACCCCATGGTCTTCCTTTGAGTGCTTTTCTAAAGGGGGGATCATCTTCTCTCTCTAGATCCTCCGCCAACTCAATGTGGTATTCTAGCTATTTGAGGTAAGATAACATATTGGAAGTTAACATTTTCTTACACTGAAAATGTATTTTCGATAAATACTTACCTCCTCTCACATTTCACACCCGACCTCCCCACTTCTGGTGTTGGTTTTGTATGTACTGCCCAATCTTGAAGTGGTTACGGGCTGCATGGAACAGAGGGCATTAGTGATGATAGGAGTTGTGTCACACTCCTATTGGTGGAGGGTTACTGCATGGTCATTTGCATGATAGCAAGCAGATTGTCTCATCTGAATACACTTGATGGTAGGTGGGAGTATCAAGGCTAGTGGCAATTGAAATTTTTTATGCATATAAAGGCAGTATAAATTGAGAAAAGCTATTTGTGAGTGTAGGTTGGAAATACACTTTCAGCGTAGAAAAACTTTACCTTTCATTATCTTACCTGATGTAACCTTATTTAACCTAATAAGTTTCTAATGTTTACATTTTAGTTACTTTTATAATAATAATAATAAGGAATATACATGGAAAAACAAGAAATATGGTGCTTACTTGTGTCCTCTTGTTTTTTGCTGTTGACTCTCAATGAAAGTTAAGCCTACTTTTTATATTAATGGTATTAGTACACTAAATAATTTTTATTTAATTGAATAATGCACGTAAGAACCAGATAATATGCACAAAGCAAACAATGTCCTATAACTATCATAATTTATCTGGCTTCTAACTATAAGGTAAGAGCCTATAAAAATTTAACTGAGCTTGTTAATGTGAATACAGTGAAACAAATGTTCAAACTGGAGGAAAAATAGACAATATTCTGTACAGAAAACAGTGTAATATAGTATGTAATTTGATAGATTAAAAACTTTGGATTTCTATAGGTTATAATTAATTTAGTTTAAAACAGAGAGTACTATTGGCAATTTGTGAAAGAGAAGATGTGATAGGTGGGCATGGTGAGTGGGTCTGTTTTTCTAATTTATGGATCTTTATACAAATAAGATTTAAGGCTATAAAAATTATGCTCAGTCTTAGTAATATTTATATTATAATGAAAAATGTATTTTACATTCCATAATTCTCAGAGGGATGGTAAATAAATTAGAGAAGAAGGAAGACCTAGAGAACAAATGTCACAATTCTCATACTCGAGAAGATTGAGATTTTTTTTTAACATTTCCTTATAGAAGTAAGAATGTAAAACTTGTATTAAAATTTGATTTATTTACTATGTTTGATGCCAAGTTTATTCATATACAGTGAAAATAAAGTAATTAACTTTTGAATGTAACTCTGTGAAAGGTTGTGACATGTCCACTTTGACCAATCTGTAGCAAGAGGGATAAAATATAATGTCAGTTTGTATAGTTTTACTGCTTTTCCTGAAATAACTGCATTTGCATGCATAAGACATGGACCCAGTTTTAAACACTTGTTCACTGCTGTAAAGAAGAAAAAAAACAAACAAGATATTTAATGTACTCTTTATATCTATTTTCTGTTTTGGCGATCAAATTGTGTTATATGAAATTTGCATGCATTGCTTATTGTGTTATATAAAATTGTTACTTATTATCATAAGAATTATTTTTTGTGGATCCAATCCTTACTTCTTCTCACTTCATATCTAGAATGTCCTAAATAAATATCACTTTTTTTCCAGTAAAAGTTTGTATTTTATCTGTTATTTTCTCTACCCTAAACCAACTGTAGCTAATTTATCAATGTACAGTAAAATGAAATTTTGAAAATTATCAAGTAAAGTGAACCGTACCTTGTTTGTTCTTCTTCTTTGAAGATGTCATTTTGGGATATTGATGATTTTTTAAATATATTCACAATTTTCAACTGTTTCCTTTTTCACATATAGTTTATTTTACTTTTGTGGTTTTTCTGTCCTGTACAACATACAGTTTATTCATTCCCAGTAAAACAACACATCACAGTGGGGGGGTACACATTAGTATATTCTTGGAGAGTGATGTACTGAATGAATGAAATTCTGCACTTGGACACATACTGAACTAGGCCTAGCATTTTTTCTCTTAAATGTTTTGTCAAAACAAAAATTAATGTACACTTGAAATATACACTTTAAACATAAATAATACATAAATCACTAAAAGAGAATATCCAAATGCAATAATAATTTAACTGACTTTCTTACTAAGCTATGAATAGCTTAAGAAAATTTTTTAGTGCTATGAGCATCAGTTTTGCTTCACACACAAAATCTGAATTAATGTATGTTATCACCCAATTCCAAAGGTTGGTTGCAAGTTTAAAATAGAAAATAAGTTATTTCTTTTGGTTATAAACTTAGGTTTGTAAACTGCCTTGAAAATTAAAAACAGATGGGTGGGGCTTCTGTTGTGGGTTGGGAAAATTGATTGATATTTTGCACGTGGCTGTAAGGTTTGTCAAAATGACCAAGTCCGTATATAAAGATTTAAGAAATTGTTTGGCAACTTTTATCTTATCTGTTTGAAAACAGTTTCAGTTGATTTAATCATTTTTTTTTCCATTGGTGCAGTCACATACAAGAATGTATATAATCATTATGCAGCTAATTTTGTGTCTAGATCAAATAGTAGTATTTTTTTTTTACTTTTTAAATATTTTGAACTTATCCTAGTTCTCTGTGCTTACTAAATAGTAATTTATTCAAAAACTAGTATATATAATAAAAAAAAAGATAATCATTTCATCCATCCATAAAACCTGTATTAGATCAGAAAGATATTTCGATAGCAAATTGTGATCTTGACTTTTCTTTCTAATGAGTTACAGGATAAGTGAGAAGTAGACAGAAAGGCAAATTAACAGATCGGCTATTTATGTACCTTTCTGTCTCTCAGTTATTTTAAATAATATCTTTAATAGCCATGCATAACAAAAATTCAGAGATATATAGACAACTTCAGAGTATATGGTAGAGTGTGTACTCTAAGACACACTTAAAGAATACAAAGTTAAGTTTCTTTTTATATGTTCAGAATATTTTGAATTTATAAGCCATCCCAAAAAAAATAAAAAAATAAACATTTCTAGTTGAGAAACTTAAAAATTCAAGAGAAACTTCTTACTTTATTAGATTACAAATTTTTTACAATTGTTGTTGAAATGTACTTCAAACGTTTTTTTATACTTTTGATGCACTGCAGATATTTTCTATATATATGATTTTGCCCATTGCCAGTACTTTAAGAATTAATAAAATACCATTTAAAATATTTGATTTAAGATTAAATCAGCTTTTGTTGCGTGTTGTATGAAACTTGAAACTTTTCTGATTGAAGTAAAATAAAATTTATAAATTCGTTTTTAAAAGGTTTTCAGGGGTGAAACATATGTGAAACATTATTTATATTCATTGAAAGACCAAAACAAGAAACCCTTTCTTCATTAGGAGCTTTTTATTTTTATATAGAATATATATTTTATATATATAGAAAGTGGAAAGAACATTAGGATAGCCAAAAAAGATTACTTTCAAAGGCCTATGTGATTAATTTACTGTTGTTAACTTTGGGGAGAAAGCTTTCAATTTTATTTAACTTTGGTTGAAAAAGGAATATGATTTTATTAATAAGCGCCCCCCAGTAGCACAGCGGTATGTCTTCGGACTTACAACGCTAGAATCCGGGTTTCGATACCCGTGGTAGGCAGAGCACAGATAGCCCATTGTGTAGCTTTGTGCTTAATTACAAACAAATCCTTTATTAATAAGCTTAATCTTTACAATAAATACTTTAAGTTACTCCATATTACATTCTTTGTATAACTTTCACAACATACTCTTTCCAGAATTTAATTTGAAATTAAGTATTTTCAAAAATTTTTTAACAAAAATCTATTTAAAAATGGAGACATATTAGTTAATTTTTGTTTTTGCTTCCAGTGTTACATCATCAGAAAAGGTGGATAAAGAAAAAAGGTATAACGAATTCACAATCTTCTCTTTGCCTTACCCAGGTAGGTGTTAATGACAGGTTATTTAGAATTTTATTGTATATAAATCCATTTAAAGAAACACAATGAAGCATGAAATTAGAAGAAGACAAATATATATATTGCCCTTTAATCCCCCCACCCCTTGTTTAAACACTACATTTACTATACTGCATCACGAGGTGTGGAAGTAACGACATTGATTTCTTACACACTGCTCAATTGTGATGACATCTTTGTTCAGTCATTTAAAGAATAAATGTTGGATTTTAACCATAAAATATATTACAGGTTAACATGTTTTATGTATTGTTTTTAATGTAAGTCACGAAATGAATATTGTTGTTTATTCTTTCTCATGATGATATTAAAGCTAAATTTTCTCAATAGGAATAAACATAGATCTCCATAACAACATCATGTATTAGTACATGATGACATTTATGTATGAAACTAAATTTCAGATACTTCATTTCAAATAGTTTTATTTAAAAAAAAAGGAAGCAATAAAATGACAAAACTCAGCATATTCTAATATGGAAATGAAGCATGCAAAAATTAAAATAATGCTAATCAACTTGTACAACAAATAATGAGTTTGTGATGTGAGCTTTTTACTAAGACATTACAGTTAATAAAATGTGTAATTTTTTGGTACTGGCTACAGCATCAACAGCTGGAAAGCAAAGTAGATGATATCACAGTGTTATTGTATTCATAAGTTTTAATATGCACATTTGATTACTGCTGTTTAAGTTGGAAACAGTTAAAATTCAATTGTGTATGCAAAGTCTTAATTTATCTTAGTCACATATAAGTTAGAAAGCAGGAGATTCCAGAAACTATAAATGCAGATGATTTTCAATCCTTACTTACTCTTTTCCTGTTCTTTTTGGAGAAAATTCTTATACATGCTGTTGTGACACACTTGAAAAATTGCATTTTAATTGTATAAAATGGTAAGAGTGTATTAATATAGTAAAAGATGAATTTCTTAAAATATATGGAACAAACGTTCACTACAATAAAAATTTCATAATTTTGTGTCTATTTTAATTTTATTTATGCTTAGTTACTCTGAATTCAGAAAGAAAAGAAAGGTTTAGAAAATGTGGGTTTTTGTTTACAGGTTGTGAATTTTTCAGGGAGTATAAAGACAATGGATACTCAGCTGAAGGGTTGGTTTTTGACTGGACTCAGGTTTGTTCTAGTTCTATGTATTTAAAAATGTTTTCATTTTGGTAAACAAACATTTTTATGTTTAAATATAAACATTTTGTTGAAACCTTTTTAATAAAATATTTTGACTTTAATTTTGATAAGTGTGACTCAAGTTAAAGTTGAATTATAAAGTGTGTAATTATTCATCTTAACTAGTCCTTCAGTGTGCCAGCAGTAAGTTTACAGATTTATACCACTAAAATCTGAAGGGTCGATTCCCAGTGTTTGACAGAATATAGATAGCTTATTGTGTGGCTTTGTGCTGAAACAAACATGAAATGAATCATCATTACTATAGTAAATTTAGACTTTTTTTTTGACATATACATACAGTGTAGTCAATAGTTTTGACATATGCATGCAGTGAAATACTGATGTGCTTGTAATTATTGAAATTATAAATACAAAATTAAAAGTAAGCAGGCAAACAGATATTATTACTCTATCCTTAACCCTATGTGCAGATCGAACCTGTAAAGAAAACAAAGTTCAGGTTACCTCATGCTACATCTGAATATGTCCTCATGGGTTCCTTGAGGAGTATAGTGTAAAAATTTGTATTTAATTTTTACATTTACGTTTTCTTGTATAACCTGATCAGTTTTTGTTTTATATTATATGCTAGTTGCTTATGTTAACAACATATCAGTAAATAGAAATATATATAAAAACAAGAAATTTACAACTTTCCATTACTTATAGGCATAGTTGGACAGAATGTATTCTTAGTGTACTTCACTAAGACTACTTTTTGCATTATATTAGTTGTCCAAAAAATAATTCATGTAGCTTTCAAATGTGCATTTTAAAACAATAATAGAATGCATCAAACTACTTTAATTTATCTGGCTCTCTAACTAATTTGTAAGTAGGTTAAAAAATTTCATTACTGACCAGAGACTGATTTCATTCTACACACAGTACAATCTGCTTGTGGAATGGCACCTTTTACCCAGATAAATTAACATAAAGTGTTCATAATCATGTAGCTCACAAAATGGCCTTTCTACTGGTTATAAATATGTCTCATTGACAAGTAGGTTCGAGTAAATATGTGATTTCCAGAGCATGAAGAGTTGAGAGGAGCTTCTGTGGTGGTTGTAAAAAGTTTATTGATATCCCTGAAAATAAAGAAGGTGGGGAGGGTCTTATTTTAAAATCTAGCTTCTTAGTATCTCTAGTTGTGTATCCAATTGATGGGTATTATGAAACCCTTGTAAAGGAAGAAAGAAATTTTAAAAGGGACAATTCAGAGCAGAGAGGCATCACATGACAGTGACCTGAAGATTGTAAATGTTTAAATATTTCCTTTTGCAAATTAAGAAATTAAAACCTGTATTAACATTTGATTTATAAACTATGTTTTGATACAAAGCTTATTGACATACATTGATAGTAAAGTTTCTCAATTAAATTTTAAACACTATTTTGTAAAAAGTTAGTGGCGTGCACTTTGACCCCCACTTGTATGCATAGGGTTAATTTGCATCTTTTAATTGAAAAAATATACCAGTTGAAATTCACGTGCATCAAAAATAAAAGCTACTACTACTATTAGAGAAAGACAACTATTTCTAAATAATTTTGTATTATTGATATGATTGTCTGTGAAATATTCAGTTAAATGTTTTAATAAAAATTTTAAAAGAGTTGCACCTACAAAAGCTATTTTAATGATTATTGTATACTCTTAAGATGAGTTAAGGTCTAAAACAGTCACTAATGTATTAGATTGATTTTTGTATTAGTAATTTTAAAAAATCTTGTTTTTGATTTGAATTTTCAGCCGTTTGTAGATGCCCACTTAGGTGTGCCTTTTGATTCTATAAGTTCTCAACTTGATATTGACTGGATTCATTACAAGGTTTGTTTTGAGCATAACTATTTCAATAAAATCAAAGATCTAATAAATATGAGTTAAATATTTGAATTTTTTAGTTTTTAAATTTAAAATTTGCAAAAACTTATAAAGTTTAAAAAATATTGTAATGAATAGAAAATCTAATTTTTCCTACATAATTTTTTATTATTTAACTTTCAGTCATGGGACCTAGTCAAGTTGACACAGAATTACCTGAAGCTTCTTCTAAAGTATATTATTGAAGGTAGTAATTTTTTTTATTTGTGTCACTATTTTCATTTAGGTAATGTATATTGCATTAATGAAAACCTACTTATGGATGATGTTGCCATATTTTTCTTAATTTTTGCTTATACTAGCCCCCCAGTGGCTTAGTGGCAAGTCTGAGGGCTCACACTGCTAAAAACTAGGTTTCAATAATTGTGGTGGGCACAGCACAGATAGCCCATTATATAGCTTTGCACTTAACAACAAACTAACAATTATACATAGTAAGCAAAACATAGGGAAGAATTTAGGGGACTGTCTCGATTTTCACTTTCATGAAATATTTTGCAAGTCCATGCTACTGCAATAGGAATAATTCCATTTGACATCACACACAATTGGAATATTGGGAATATATCAACAGCTTCTCTCAACGTGGTTGGACAAACATCATTCAAAGATGTATGTCTTTAATAGTATGCTGTGATATTATGTTCTGGGTTTGTTCATAAAAATGTTGAAGATCATTCCTTCTTGCAGTTAAAAAGATGGCAATGAATGTCTTGGCTTACAAACTAGTGGAAATAAAAGTGATTGAAAGGTAAGTTTCAATTTATGTATGTACAATAACCTAATAAATAGCTTTAACTTTAGGTCTACTTGTTAGAAAAATAGAAATGTAGAAATATGGTATATCTTGTTTCTTTTTCTAAATGCTGAAAACTTACTAAAAATTGTTAAATGTATATAAAAAGGTAATGTATAAATAATTAATTTCAAATCATTCATATCACCTGGTAAATTTGGGTTACATGCTATACACTTTCATGGAGTCATTGAAGAAGTGATTTAAGTTGTGGTATTTCTTCTGCCTTATAAAGGTTAAGAATGATTCATCTGACAGGAATATTTTAATACAGTTGATTAAGGGATTACAACTCAGTACATTTTTTATCCCTTCAAAAAATTAATAGTTCTAATGTTAATTGCATTATTGAAATGTTAGTTTTGTTTTACAACTTTTTGATTCTATAATATAAACAAATGTATGAATAATTACCACTGTTTTGTGAAAAGTGGGTCACTACTGGTAATAGCAAATCACACATGTATTAAGTCTTTTTTTTTCTGTAAAGTAGAAATTTTAGAAATTGAATACAGCTCATTTTATTTTTAGATGCAAGAGATGATAAGCAACTGATGGTGTCAGTTGATAAACGGAAATGATTCATCAGGAAATGTTATAAACTTACAACTAGTAGCAGCACCAAGTCATGACCAGTTGTTCCAATATCAGAATGGCAGCCCTTTCCTTCTGTTGATATTCCTGCAATGTTCAGTCAGAGACACGTGTGTCATTATTTGTTTGAAACTGAAAGTATTAGTGTTGATGTAGGCCTGGAAGACAGTAACAATAATTGTGAAGATATACCAACTAATGTAAGGGGTAACCAGTATGTAGAAAGTGGCCATATTTGTGAAATTCAAGAGCTTTGTTAAAAAAGAATAGTACTATATTAAATCAAAGGTAACGTCATTGTTCCAAACTAATATTTACTACAGGATAACTACCACACATTCCGCAGCTTCTTGGAGTGTAATGGAAGGTACATGCATTTGTAAGCAGTGTGCTATGAGAAGATGTTCCCTTATATTAGCACTAGTGCATTATGTTTTAAAACATGTAGAAAATTATGGATGCCAAGTCTTGTCCTGTACGAATAAATTCCAAACATGAGGGCTTGGTAGTAAAAAGAAAAATCCAGGTCCCACAAGTACCACTTAAGGCAATCATAAAAATCATTATATCTAACTATTATCCTTGTAGAACAGTGGACAAGTGATAGAAATGTGAAAATATGGGAAACATTTTTAATGTTTCATTATTATGATGAGTTTTTGTTGATAATAATGAGGTCATGTTTTAAAAACACACTATGCCATCTTAAAGACAAATATAAAAAGGTAATACTGTTATGAATATGGTCCCTTAGAGGAATATCTGGCAAACTCCACAAGATAAACTCGGCATATATGGTTCAAGGGATTGACATCATCAACTGTGAAAAAGAAATTTTTCAGAAAATATATTGGAGGTTAGTTACATCAAACACATGAGCAATGATATATAGCACAAAAAATTAAGATGTTGCTTGTAAGATCTACTCACAAAACCCGGTGCTAGAAGATGTTGATAGTACAGTTAAAAATGTATCCATGTAATTCATTGCCATGTGTTCATTGTAAAACTATGGGTAATACCAGCTGATGGGAAGTTAACAGACCCACCTAAGGAGCATCTACACGGGTCTTAGGGAATGTAATCTTGGGAATGAGGGTAGGTTACTTGAAGATAATTATTTTATTAATTTAAATTTTTTATTAAAGTGTATAACTGACATATATAACATATGATGTACATTAATGAATGGTAATTCTTTATGGAAATATTAAACAATTTTTTGAAGAGGATTTGGCATTAAATCAACTTAAATTACTATTTTCCTAGTGTATTTTAATTGAAAGTTTATTTGCATATTAGAATTTAGAAACAAGGACTTCAGCCTATAACCCATAGGTCTTATGGGAAGTAAATATGCTATAAAATGGGAAAAAACAACAACTCGATTTTCTAAAAGAACAGATGTGAAACTAAAATAATCTGAAAATAACTTAATTCTTAATTTGATAAAATGCATAAAAACATTCTTTATTTTGATGATGGTAAAATTTTTTCCCCATTTTTCATATCTATACATCAATCATGTATAAAAGTAATAATTCAGGTGAAAAACATTGCACCTGTATGTACATTAAACACAAAAAAATGGATTGTCATTATGTAAGAAAAACATTATTAACATATGCTCCAGAAGAGAAATAGTGATCTATTCAAAAACGCTTGAGTTTTGGGTCTCATTTGAAAACCACTCCAGAAGTATTGATAGCCAAAGATGTTTATATAATTGTGTTTGTGGAGCATTTTAATTTTAGATAATCTCTTCTGTTTATAATTAGCAGTTGTCTGGGTGATATACAATACTTGTCTGTCTATTTCAGAAATTATGTCCAGGCCCAGATGGAATTTTCTGGGATATGTTGTTTTATAATCAGAAATAATATGAAACATACTGCAATGTACAAAATTTGTCATTTATTACATACCGTAACAAAAATTAAAATTTATTCACAGGATTTAAATTTTAAATTGTAAGACAGTGAAATTGAACAAGGTAATGCATTTTTTATAACCAGCTTTTTTAAAACAAATAAATATGTATTTAAAACTGCATCAAAATATTTCATTTTTAGAAATGTAGATCTTTAGACAATTTTAAACTCCCATGCAGGAAACAAATTCATTTTGATAAGGTATACAGTGTTCCCTATTAAGCATATCTGTACATGAATCATATAAGAATAATAATTCATGTGAAAAACATCACATTTGTACAACAAAAGAAAAACTAGTTCCAAAACAAAGCCACTTTAATTACTAGTCAATATTTGCAGTTCTGGAAATTAGGAGATGCTAACACCCATGTACAGCTGACTTGTAGTCCTAATGGAATTGTTTATATTTCATCTAGAAATTCACTAACTGGATTGATAGCGATTAAGTACCCTGCCATTCTAAAAGATGCTATTCCTAATGATTTTGAAAAGCTTCTGTGTCAAAAGAATAAATTCTGAGTGTATTTTAAAGAAATCACACAAATATTAGTTTCAACTACTGGTGAAGGTAGGCATAATGGAGATGGAATAGAGTGACTGTGTTGTATGAAGTCCTAAGGATATGATAGTTATTCACTTACGTTTGGATGAAGGTTTGTGGAGTGAAATGAAGGAAAAATCGTCCTTTAGTCATGAATACTTGTTTTGGTTCAGAGTCATACTTTCTTCCATCTTGCATACACCTCCATCACTTCTACCCCGTTACACTGCCATGAGCCAGTGAATTGATAACTTTCTCAAAATACACAGTCTGAGAGCTGATTTTTTATACATAAGCTTTAATATGTAAAGAAACATAAATAGCAGAATTACTGTACAAGTTGTGCAGGGCTGGTGCACATTTTAAAACTTATGTTTATGATTTTAAAACTGATGGTTAGGGTGCTTGACTCGCAATCCCACCAAACATGCTCACCCTTTTAGCCATGAAGGCATTATAATGTGATGGTCAATCCCACTATTCATTGATAAAAGAGTAGCCCAAGAGTTGGCGGTGGGTGGTGATGACTAGCTGCCTTCTCTCTAGTCTTACACTGCTAAATTAGGGATGGCTAGTGCACATAGCCCTTGTGTAGCTTTGCACGAAATTCAAAAAACAAACAAACTATTATTAAGCTGTTTCTTATTATGACACTAAGACTTCAAAATTGATAAGTGTACAACTCAAATAGATCTTTTAAATGTTCTTGAGTTGTCAAGTAATGCCACAGATAATGCAGATGAGTAAGCAGGGGAAGTTCCTCTGCTTCAAATAAACAATGCAAATTTAGTGAGACGTGTCTGAAGGATTGAAATTGGTTAGTTATTAACAAAGAGTGAACTGACATGTGGTTTAGAATTTGCTGCACTAACCCACAGATTGCTGAACAAAGTGTTTTATTTTTAAAGGTATAACCAACTTTAATCATCTTAATTTCTCCAAGTAAAAAAATATATCTGCTCTTCAGAAAATTTCTGATAGGATTTTTTCAGAAAAAAATAGCTCTTAAATAGTAGCAACAGCTACCTATGGATAAGCAGCTAACAGAATTAAGCAAGAGTCAATGTCATGCACTTCAAAATTTATTCACACTAATATTTTGCAAAGTAAGAAAATCAACCAATTCAACATTATGAACAAGATGTTGAACTCCTGAAAAGGTTAGGAGTGAATGTAGATGTCGTATTACAATGATTCCATCAGAGGAGTCTTAACAGAGACATTGACAGCAGCTATGAATGAGGTACTTGCAGAAGAACTTAAGACTAGTTATTACTTTGCAATCATGCTTGATAATTCAAGACATTTGCAAGGTAGAAAAC